TCGACCAAAACACCTTTTTTTTTGTTCAGGTCTTTTCTCTTATTTTTTCAGATGTCATCGGCTGATTGAATAGCTTCGAATGTTGAAGTTAAATATACTCAAATCTTCATCAACAACAAATGGCATAAAGCAACAAATGGAAAAACTTTTCTGTCATCAATCCAAGTGCAGGAGAAGAAATCTGTCAAGTAGAAGAAGGCACTAGAGTACGAATCTCTATATGTTCCTCATTGGTTCATTATCTATTGTGATTTTCAGGCTGATGTTGATAAAACAGTTGAAGCTGCTCAAACAGCTTTTGATATCGAATCACCATGGCGTAACTTAGATCCTCTTTCTTTCTCTCAACATAAGTCAATATGTAAAAAGTGGAAACACTTAACAATGGTAAACTAGAAGAACAGACTAAAGGTGAAATATTTTTCTCAGTTGATTGTACTGAAACCAACTGAACAAACACCACTTAGTGCACTTTATTGTGCTGCTCTTATCGAAGAGGTAAGATATTATTATGTCGATCATACTTTGTTGTTGTCATGATGATCTAGACTGACCTTCCACCAGGTGTTGTCAACATCATACCAGATAAACTGAACACATATTGATAAAGTAGCTTGTACTAATTCAGTTGAAATAAAAACATTCACTAATAAAACTAAAAAAAAAATGGATGTGAAATGTTTGATTGAAGATTGGAAAGAAAATACAAGAAGCAGCAACTAAATCAAATCTTAAATTTGTTACACTTGAACGTGGTCAGTAACAAATACAGGATAATTATCATCTGAGCTATTCTCTTTTCACATATCGGTGGAAAATCTCCTTTGATCATCTGAGGATGAGGATGAGTATTCTATAAGACTTTCAAATAATCAAATTGATTCTAATACTGCACAAAGATCACAAGTAATAACCTCTTTAATCTAAAGAAAAGTTCACTTTACCTGTATATGATAGATAAATGATAATCAATTTCAACAGAGTTTGGATTTTAGAGAATCAGGTTAAAAGTTTAGAGATAAATTAGAATGTGTTAGTGAACGAGTTGATAATAAAGGTTGTTTTATCAAAGCAACTATTTTTAGTGATGTAATAGATGATATGCAAATTACTCGTGAAGAGGTATAACATTTTTTTTTATTAAATTCTATAATAATGTAAAAGTTTAGATATTTGGTCCAATAATGTTAGTCTTAAAGTATGATTCATATGAAGAAGTTATTAAACGAGCAAACGACACGACTTTTGAACTTGGTGCTGGAGTGATAACTAGAGACAGTAAATTTGAAAGAAATGATTATTGATGATTATTCTAGTTTTTCAGTAAGACGTGCTCTTGCGTTGGCTCATCAAATACGTCCTGACTCTATTTGGATAAATACTTATAAGGCTATATGTAATCAAGTACTATTTGATGGCTTTAAAGAATCAGGTCAGGAAAAAGAATTAGGTCGATATGGTCTCGAAGCATACTATCAAGTAAAAACAATTGTTGTTAAACTTGTTTGAGGAAAAACAATACAAATTTTTCATGAAGAACAGCTATTTGGATTTGCTTGTTTAACTTTCTAACATTTATGTAGTCCAAATTATTTTAATAAATAAAAGAGTATAGACTTGATAAGTCAATCTGATATCTAAAGTTAAATAATGATTATGAATAGGAAATTTTTTTACTCTAAAATTAGTGGTACTGTTTGCTCTTTAAACTCTTCCATGTATTGCGAAAGTCTCACTAATACGTACAACTAATTTAAATAAAATGTTTAAGTGCAAAGAATAGAATACTACGAGCAATCAGTTGAAACAACTCCTAATTACGGTAATAACTCGTATGAATGATCATAATCTAGTTTCAATTTAAGATACATAATTAATAACATTTTAAATTTTATTGTTTAAAAGACTTTAAACAAAATACAATACAAAGAAACAAATTGATTATTGAAGAAGGAGAAGCGTGATCGATTCTTTTCTGCTATCGTAAAACATTACTTATTGATTATATATATAGTGAATTTAAAGAAGTTTTTATATATAATAAATTCTTTGATTGTTCCTATTCTCTATCATCTAAGTGACATTAGAGTTTTGAACAATAACAATAATATTCTTATGAAAAATGTTAATTTGTTAACTGAAATCACATAAGTAGATATACGATATTAGCGAAGAGAATGCTTTAGCCTGTTATTTACAACGCTTTCGAAATCCAGCGTACAATTATAAAAATTAGTTCTATTCTCTTGAAATCTTCGCTATTCTAAAAATTCCTTCTTTCCATCGTGGCAATTTCGTTCTGGAAGTCTTCCTTCATATATTGAGTGCTTCACATTAAACGAACTGATAAGATCTTTAGTAATAGAATCACATCAAAAGAATATGATTTTGCATATACTAAGAACGATCTGATTTGCACCTGTTAGTAGAATAGTTCCATAGTGAAGTGCAATATCAAATACATATGTTATTAGAAAAATTGTTCTTCGCCTGTCGCAAAGTCCAATCGACAAGACAAGTTTTAAAAAATACCACATTGATAGGAAGACTTGTTACAATACTCAGGTGTGCTACCTTATCAAATTATTGTTCTCTCTTAACCAAATTGGTTTCATAAGTTGAACCATTCATTAAGATTGAAGACATCATCTGCAACTGAAACAGCAATGAATATAAGTAGATAAAGGAACGAGCTAATATATGTTCATTCTTTCCTTTCTTCTTATGTGATAAATCAAGGTCAATCATGTAGACAAAGATGAATCCGTTCTCTATCATTAATCCAAGTACAGATGAAAAAATTTGTCAAGTAGAAGAAGGTACAAAAGTATCAATATATATATACATGATTATTTTCGTTCTACGTGTAATTTTTATTGTTTCCAATATTGTAGAGTGATCCTGATAAAGCAATTGAAGCTGCTGAAAAAGGTTTCCAATATGATTCACCATGGCGTAAGTTTGATCCTGCTCATGTACTCAGTTAATTTGTAAACTTGCTGATTTACTTCTACGTGTTGTGGATTATTTAGCAGTAAAAATGTTCACTCTGTTTGTTTGCATCTACATCATAAATGAATATTCAGAGATTAGAAATACGGAATAGTGAAAAAACTGCTACAAGAGAGTTATTGTGAGATTCTTGGAGCAGGTGTTTGTCTTGATTATTGTAAGGCTTTCTGACATTCTCTTTGTTTTATTATCGGTGATATTCACATGTTACAGATGTTGGATGGACTGATAAAATCACTGGTGAAACATTTCCATCAGAATCAGGTATTTTTATTACCTATATTAGACATGAACCAGTTGGGATCTATGAACAAATCATTTCATGGCTAGTTCAAACATTCAATAAATGAATATTCAAATTGTACTTTCTTCTTTCAGTGATTATTCAGTGCGATATTCTTTCTTACATATGCATCATACAAAAGTATTGTTGACATTATATTTTAGACTGTTATGTTGGCTTTAAAACTTGGATCAGCATTAGTTCGTGGTAACTTCATTACTTCTATTAATTTAAACTTTCTTATATATTGAAATAACAAATAGGCAATGTAGTTATTCTCAAACCAGCTGAACAAACACCACTTACTGCACTCTTTTGTGCTTCTGCCATCAAAGAAGTATTATTCAACATCTATCAGCAATCGAAATTTACTCTAACACTAAATCAATAATCTAGGCTGGTTTTCCACCAGGTATTTTTAACTGTGTGTCAGGTAATACACATCACCAGAATGAAAACAACTCTTATAATGATATACATATATAAGTCATGGACCTAACTGTGGTCATTCATGAAAAGATTAATAAAATCGCTTTTACAAGTTCACTCAAGGCAAGATTAGTGCAGATGAAAGGCAAAAAACAAACGCACATGATATTTTGTTTTAGGATGGGAAAAAGATTCAAGAAGCTGCAGGAAAAACTAATCTAAAGCGTATTTCACTAGAACTTAGGTAGTAAAATCATCTTTCTTACCTGCCTGCTTTGTTGCCTTTTTCATCACATATAGGTAGTAAATCATCATTGATCATTTGTAAAAATACTGATCGTATGTATTAAATAATTCTATTACTTTCATTTTCATTGTGCTTCCTAGTGACGAAAAAGGTTTATAAACGATAGAATTAATTTGTTTTTGCATGTTTTAGTCGATGTTCCTGTTCGAACTGCTCATAGAGCACTTTTCACTCATGCAGGTCAAGTATGTTTTGCTGCATCAAGAATATTTATTCATTCCACACTTCACGATGCCTTTGTGTCTAAAAGTGTCGAATTAGCAAAGAAACGTATTGTTGGTGATCCATTTGATTCTTCAACTGAACAAGGACCATAGGTGTAGGAAAGCATTTCAAGTAAAGTGTCATAATCTAAACTATGCAAAAAACATACTGATTGAGAATTCAGAAAATAATTTGATAAGACAACAGATTAGCATTGATTTCTTTTGTGTATTCTACAAAACAGTCATACTTAATTAGAAACAATTCTTGAATGTATTCGATCGGGTAAAAAAGTTGGTGATAAAGGTTATTTTACTCGACCTACTATTTTTACTAATGTAAAAGATGGTATGAAAGTAGCTCGTGAAGAAGTTTGTCTTTTTTTCTCTTTTCTTTATTTCATTGAAATCGTTTTCTTCTATTTAGAATATCTCTTGGTTTCAACTTATTTTCTCATTAGTCGATCCATCGGATATATTCAGCAACAGCATCGAAATTCTTATCTACATTGGAATCGGAATCATTGGTTGAATAATACAAATAGTTTAGGTTCGATGTAAGAAACTTAGATACAATGCCATACTTCTCTAACTTCTGACGGTGCTTGACTGCAAACGTAGGTCTCTCTACTAAGACATTGAACCTCATATGGTATCAAGTGAAACTTAAGACAAAAAATCAAGGGGGAAAAAACGGAATCCTGGAATCTTGAATTCCTCTGGATTCCAAAGATTCCCTGTGATTCTTTCAGATTCCAAGGATTCCATTGGATTCCAATGGATTCCATCGGATTCCATCGGATTCCATTGGATTCCATCGGATTCTATCGGATTCCATTGGATTCTATTGGATTCCATTGGATTCCATGATTCCGGGGATTCCATTGGATTCCATGATTCCGGGGATTCCATCGGATTCCATCGGATTCTATCGGATTCCATCGGATTCCATTGGATTCCATCGGATTCTATTGGATTCCATTGGATTCCATGATTCCATCAGATTCCATTGGATTCCATGATTCCGTGGGATTCCGTAATATTCCACCGGATTCCAGGATTCCGTTTTTTCCCCCTTGCAACAAATAGATCATGCAAATTGTACGCTACAGTCTATTCAAATGATTACCTTTTTATTTCTTTTTCTAATTTACTTTATGAGTATTAGCAGAGGGTCTACTAGAATACCAGACAATATGGGTGGAGTAAAATTTTGGATTTTGGATTTAATTATCTTAAAATAAAGGTCGCATATAGATATTACTAAATCCGAAATATTAACTCGATCTGATAATGATTCATTGAATTATGATGTATGTCATGGTAACAGGTCTTATAGAGTTATAATACAAAATGATAATTTTTATTTTTGATACTTTTTAATATATTGTAAAACTAAAGCATTATTCCACGAATTAATATAGTATTGATTGTTGTCAAAAGGAAGAGCATCTCTTTTTCTGTCGATTTCGCACAAGCATCATTTTATCGGAAAAAAAGGGTTAATACGATGATTTTTTAATGAAAATATGTATGGTTTTTCTTACCATGTTTTTTCATGTTTTTTTTGCGTTTTTTTAAAAGTGTTTTGATCTTTGAATTGAAAAATTGGGTTTCTCAGGAATTTTATGATATCAGAAGATAGCCCGTAAAAAACTCTATCTTCTATGTGAAAATATCTAAGAAAAATCATGCCTGGCTCAATCAACTTTTTTCAACAAAGTTCATCACGACGTATTTTTTATGCTGATTATAACGTGTTTTCATTGTTTCTTGATGTTAATCATTTCTCATTCACGATTTAATCTATGAGTTCATTTAACAAGCATAACTACATCGTGTAGAATGCCAGAGCCATATTTCTAATGATACTCCTATATATATAAATGTGGTCGACCAAGTGAGCCTCACAGTGCGTAAATCCTAAATTTCGAGCTCACTTCACGCCAGTCCATTTTTATACTTAACAGCCCATAGTAGGATTCCATCAATTGCAGCCATAGGGTATGAGCGCATTATGTGACTGTAAGTTCGTTAATTAATTAGTACCCAACTAATTAGAACTAATTAGAGAGAGTGCTCAATTAATCAGCACTAATTAAGGCGGCTAATAGTTAGGGTAAGCATAGTTTGTAGTAGACATCTGTACAGTTTTGAGGGCTATTAGGGTCATTGTTGAATGCGTTAGGAAATATTGGGTTCATGAGTAATGTAAGAAATGTGTACTTGAATTTTGCTTTAGCAAGTAAGAGTAAGCTTTTTTGTTAGCTGAAGGTAATTGAGTCGCGTGATAAAATGTCTTCGATACACAAGTAGTATATGCGGCGGAGAAAATGTTTGAAAATTTGGGTGAACTTTGAGCACTTCTGTAGTTAAAGACCGATTGATCATTAGGTGTGCAACAGGCCCGACTCATGCGAACAAAGCTGGCTGACTAGTTCTAGCTTAACGAACTGAGCTGAATCTATGATACACCTACTTACGGTTATCGCTGCAGGATAGGGCTTTAGGATTTATGGATACTCCTATATAATAGTCCTTGAGTACCTGCAGCACAGTCGGTAGTTTTCGCATAAGCAGGCGAACATACAATTTTTTTGCTCAGAAATAAACATATATCATTCAGAGAATCGTCTTTGAGAAAACAGAAAGTTTTTAAGAAAAAAATTTACGAAAAACTGTGGCTGGGGAGTACCTCAGCCATAATTTTCCGAAAAAAATTTGTTTTGAAAAATATGCTGAGCTACATATCACTCGAAGTAGTGTAATGTGTTCATTCCGAATATCACCATAGTTTTTTTTCAAAGAGTAATATCAGTGTCAAAAATCGGATTTCCTACTGTAAAATACCTTAGGAAAGGTTTCATAAGTTTACGCCACTATCATAAGTAGATTACATATGTAACAGCGTCTGGTAAAAATGCGCTCTCGATTCGACGTTTTCTCTTTGCAGTGCTTACAATATATGGAACGATATGTTTTCAGATAGATTTTGGATCTCGAGATCCTTTATCTTCTACTCTATTTTAAATTAAATTTGGATCACTTTTTTTTAAACATAAGGTCTACCTATGAGGAAGCTTTTTGTGATATTGTTTGCTTGTGCAATATTGTTTCATAGTGTCTAGCAGCTTGATTTTCTTTATTTATGCTGATTTCTGGGGCGCAAGCCTTGGCGAACTCTTTTCTTGGGCTTTATAAAACTTTGAGAACCGCTATTTTAGGAAATGATAGACCACATATGCATGTATCTACGCAAATCGTTAGATTCTAGAAAAGAATATTTTCGCACATGTCCGCCTGGCTCTCCACTGTAACAGCCATCAACGCTTGCGGATTCAGCGTTACTTCACCTGTGTATTGACTTTGTGTTGTTCTACTTGTAAGTTGAATAAAACCCACTGATGACAGCTAACAAAGTGCTCCATTCTTCATTTTCTTATCAAATATTTATTATGCAAGTGAAGACTGCTATTCAAGTATGTTGTGTGCAAAGTCATCGACTTTCCGCGAAAGAAGAATAAAAGCATGTGCGCCAACCAATTTTTTTTTCTCTTTCTGCGATTAACTCCTGCGTCACAAACGACATACTGTATCATTGTTAAAAAACAAAACAAGAGTTCATAGTGTCTTATCGAGCCTGTTTGAACACATAATATATTCATTGTAGATTTCTTAACTGATTGGTGATCAAACAACACAGAAATAAAACTTTTGAAAAGTTCACTTCTCAAATCGATGCGAATCTTTGCGAAGAGTTCGTAATGGTACAAGACTCTCAAGGAAAAGTCTTCAACTAATCCATGCCGTTTTTGTTGATATTTTGCCTATATGTAGGGTTTGATGAGATTAGAAAAAACTTTAAAAAAAAACAGCCCATAGACTTTCCTTCGCAAGTTATGATCATTTTACTTAGTTTACCACCTAGCACAAGGAATTCAGCGAAAAATCAAATTGAGAAATTTCGATCTGAAATTTTGTCCACATGCAAGTCTTATGGCCTATATATTAGCCTAAAAGTTCCAGTAAAAACAAACGCCTCTTTCTCGAAATATTGCGTTATCAAGAAAACATTGCCATGCTACATACATCTCAGGAAAATCGACTTCTATGGAAAAATCAATATTTCACGACAGAAGCATTTGTTTTGACTGCAACCTTAAGCCTAATATATAGGTCATAAGACTTGCATGTGTACGAAAGTTAATTTTTCACTGAATCTCTTGTCATATGTGATAAACCAAGTAAAATGAGGGTGTGGATGTGACTGGGGTGTGGTTGTCGATGGACGTGGGCGTGCTTGCCGAAGAGAAGACTCACACCCACACCCACACCCTCATCGCATAGTATACATATAGGCTGTTTATAACTAGCGAACTATTGTTTTTTACTATACGATGACATCATTATACATTCTTTTCTTTTTTTTCTTCGATCTAAACGAGATAGATCGAAAATAACTTGCAAATGTGAGTTCTGTCATTTTCGATAGTCTTTCTTAGCTGATATTGTCAATTACAAAACATTTTCGCTGCTGTTAAAATAAAAAAGTCTTGTATTTCAATATTAAGTCGTTCATTTACTTATATATATTATATTTCAAAATAACTATGGCAGCATATGTGGACGCATTTCGATACTAAGTAAAGGATTATTTTCAATGTATCTCGAATAGATCGAAGATAAAAAGAAAAAGAATATATAATGATGTCATCGTATAGTAAAAAAAAACAATAGTTTGCTAGTTATAAACAGCCTATACGTATACTATACGAAGAACGAAAAACATTCAATGGTCGTGTTGTATGTATCACTATGTAACAGTGCCGACGTAATTGCACAATATCAGTTGGTTCCATCATAAAGATAGTCTATATAGAATTTACTTTTGCAGTTTTTCTGCAAAAGTAAATTCTGTCATTTTCGATAGTCTTTCTTAGCTGATATTGTCAATTGCAAAACATTTTCGCTGCTGTTAAAATAAAAAAAGTCTTATATTTCAATATTAAGTCGTTCATTTACTTGTATATATTATATTTCATATTTGACGTCGTAGAATAATCTAGAAAAAAAAACATCCAATATCGAATATGTAAATAGAAAACAATGGTCTC